CCTTTAAATACTTCCTATAGAGCCACTCTTTAGTTCTCTGGCTGTGAATTAAGGGCTTAGCGCTGTCAATCACCTCGTGTATGTGCTGCTCACACCCTCCTCTTGCTCTCTGCTGTTTCACTACAACAGAATCTGCCATGACGGCTAACAGTGTTTATCATCTGCAGAGGAAAATATTGAATAAACTCAAAATTCATGTTGAGTTTATTCAATATAAAGATCACAAAGACACAAAGCTGAACATCTGAAAGGAGTTTTAGTTTCATTTTATTTTTCTAATTAAAGTCATGAAAGTATAATTTGGTTAAAAAAACAAAGCAAAACTATTAAAAGTGAAAACTTTCATTTATGTACCTGAGATGTTCAAACCTTTGGTGTATTTTCATTTTCTTCATACATTTCAGAGAATAAAAAATGTTCTTTGTATTCTTAAACATAAAAACTCAAACACTCAAAAACAAAGACTTTGTTTATGTCTAACATATTTTCCACGTAAAAAAAATCAACTTAATTTTTTTTATATTAACACTTTAAACATATAAATCTGAGTATATAACGTTTCGCCATGTTAAAGACAATGAACAGCAGGATGTTTGTGGATCCACATCTGAGCCTCAGCTTCTGCAGCTCATCAGTTATTCCTCAGCATCTTTTCCCTCAGCATCGTCTTTCAGGCTCGCTGGGTGAAGATCTGATGTTGGGGAGAGAAACCTTCAGGATTCACCACCAACGGACTCATCATCTCCATCCTAGAGAGAAACCAGAAATCATCCTCAGAAATAAAACCATGACAGGATCAAATTACTGACTCCTGTTTTAATGTTTGTTCCTGTTTTATACTTAATGTAACTTTAGTTTCCTGCATGGACTTTACTAATTCACCAAACTTAAAGCCACAACCTCTAATCTAAGCATTCTGGCCCTCAGACCCAATCAGGAGATTTAAAGCTGAAGAGCAGGGCCGGCCCAAGGCATAACCAAACTAAACGGCTGTTTAGGGCCCCGGGGCCTCTAGGGGCACCCTAAGTTAAACTATATGTTTTTTCTTTTAAGTAATGATTTTTATGTGATTATATGAACACAATTTCATTGTAATGCTGTAATTCTTTTTTAACAATAATATATATTTGATCATATAGAAATCACTGTTTATATGAACAATAAGGAAAACTAATTTGCTCTTGACGCCCCCTGGTGGCTGCAGTGGGTCACACTTCACCAGTAACATGAGCTGCAGAACATCAAACCTCCAAAGCTGGTAGAAGATAAGTTAGTGAAACAATGTTTCAATGAAAGGTTTAACCTTCAGGGAGAGAAAAGGAGGAAGAAAAAAGACAAGATAAAGGAGAAATCTATGAAGAGAAGCCAAATCTGATGTCTAACGTGTTTGATAACATTTGATAATAATTAAAACTTCAGTGTTTGACATTATCTAGCAAAATGTTTTTCCTTCAGGCTGCATGGCTGCTGCATCAATGAGCTGCTCTGTCTGCTGCTGATAATTTATGTTAAAACAAACATTATTTTACTAAGTTATGAGAAACTTCTGTTAAAATCATTAAGGCTCAGAATCAGTCCAGTAC